AATTTAAATGTTTTTTATACAGAAGATTTTTGTAAGCTATTGCTTTAGCTTTAGATTATGAGTATAAAAAGCTAATTTAAAGCTTTAAGTTTAAAAACGTAACGTAAGTACAAAAACAGCTTTATTGATTGAGGACGTAGTTGATAAGTGTAGGAAAACAAAAGACTTAAGAGGCAAACTTGAGAGAGAGTAAAAGAGAGTGAGATTTTAAGGGTTAAAAACAAGTATTAACAACTTCACATACAAAAAACCGCTAGGAATAAGTAAAATCTACTAAAAATATAACTTTATAGTATATAGTAGGGTTCGAACAATCGACTTTTTGTCGAAAAAAGTCGAAGTCGACTATTTTGTTCCAAAAAAGTCGAAAACTCGACTATGGTCTGTGAAAAAAGTCGAAAAGTCGACTTTGTTAATAAAAGTCGAAGTCGACTATTTTGTTCCAAAAAAGTCGATAACTCGACTATTGTCTGTGAAAAAAGTCGAAAAGTCGACTTTGTTAATAAAAGTCGAAAAGTCTGAAAGTCGAAAAAAGTCGATAAGTCGAAAAAAGTCGAAAAGTCGAAAAAAGTAGTAAAAAGTCGAAAAAAGTCGGAAAAAGTCGAAAAGTCGGAAAAAGTCGAAAAGTCGGAAAAAGTCGAAAACTCGAAAATTGTAGAAACAAGTCAAAAACAGTCGAAAATCTTAAAAAAAGTGGAAAAAAAAGTCAAAAACTCTAAAATATTCGGAAAAAGTCGAAAAAATTAAAAAAATAGTCGAAAAAAAGTCGAAAATAGTCAAAAAGTCGAAAAAAGTCGAAATGTCGGAAAAAGTCGAAAAGTCGAAAAAATTCGGAAAGTCGAAAAGTCGGAAAAAGTCGAAAAGTCGGAAAAAGTCGACTATTAATAAAATACTTGTAGTCGAAAAGTCTAAAAGTCGACTTTTAATTAAATGAAAAAAGTCGAAAAGTCGAAAAATCGACTTTTCATAAAATGCAAAAAGTCGAAAAGTCGACTTTTCGTATCAACTATAGAACCCTAGTATATAGTCTAATCTGTATTCTGGATTATAGGCTAAATTCTGGTCCATAGTATGGTCTATAGACTAGTCTCAAGTCTAATCTATAATCTAGCCTCTAGTACAGACAAGTCTAGTATATAGTCCAGTCGATAGGTTAGTCTATAGTCTACTTTATAGCCCAACCCATAGTCTTGCCTATAGTCTAGTCTATTCCATAACCCAACCCATAGTCTAATCTAGTATATAGCCTATCTATCCTACTCTATTGTCTAGTACAATAGTCTAGTCTATAGCTTACGGTATAAACTAGTCTTTAGTCTAGTCTATAGTATTGTCCTTAGTGTAGTCAATTGCCTAGTCTATAATCTAATCTTTAGTATAGTCCAGACTTTAGCATAGTCTATAGTATATCCTATAGTCTTGTCTAACCTGGACTAGTCTTATCTATAATCTGGACAATATTCTAGTCTATAGCCTAATCTATAAAATCGACGTCATGGCAATTTCCTTGAAATAAAAACTTTCACTTTCCTCATTTAAAAAGTTACACCAACAAATTAATCACCAGATAAACAAAAAACTCAATATTCTTTTTGCTCAAATTATTTAAAAAAAAAATCAATATCAAATCTTTATTTAAAAAAATGCTGATGGTTTACGCACTTTTTTACTGAATTTAAAATAATGACATGCTGCTTTATTTTATCTTGGAATCTCTTTTTTAAAAAATCTCTACCTTTTTTTTTGTTTTGCAAACAACCGCTTAGATCTTGTTGAAGGCAGCAATATCGACAGATTGTACGAAATCTTCGAATTCTTCAATCTTTTCAGTCAACAAATCAATGGATACCTTGTCATCTTCAATGACGCACATAATTTGCAATTTGTTAATACCATAACCGACTGGCACCAATTTGGAGGCACCCCACAAGAGACCGTCCATTTCGATGGTGCGTACGTTCTTTTCCATTTCCTTCATGTCGGTCTCATCATCCCAGGGTTTGACATCGAGCAACACGGAGGATTTGGCAATCAAGGCGGGTTTCTTGGATTTCTTAGCAGCATAGGCGGCCACACGTTCTTCACGGATCTTGGCAGCTTCAGCATCATCTTCTTCATCATCGGAGCCGAAGAGATCGACATCATCGTCATCATCATCGGCAGCAGCAGGAGCAGCTACGGTGGGCTTGGCACCGGCAGCTTGTGGCAAGGGGGAACCGCCCCAGGCAGCCTTTTCGCTGGCCTCGAAGGAGGCAATGTGACGGTACCAACGTTGTACGTGTGGTAAATCACCAGTGGGGGCCTTGCCTAAAGCCTCGAACACAGATAAATCAGCCTTGGAGGGTTCATAACTAGAAAATAAGAAAACAGCACAAAGTTAATATCTTCCAATATGCAAAAAATGCCGACGTGTGAGGTCATGTCTTAACATAACCTCATTTATTTGATGGCATGTTTTGATAAACATTCCTACACTTACCCACTGATGTAGCTGTTGTTGGCCAAGAAATTGTTCAATTCCTTAAGACCTTGTGGGGTTTTAACATCACCGAAAGCCATTGTTATTTATTTATAATTAAATTTATTTAATAAAACTTAAAATTAATCTGGTTCGTCAGCTAGTATGCTTGCTGCTTGCAAAAATTTGACAACCGGAAAGAGACGAGATTTTTGTGGTAAGACCTGCGCCAACAAAATTATCACCGACGGCGTCGAACATTAATAAATTGGACAGCGGCATATTTATTGAATAAAACTAAATAACTTGGCAGCACTTTGGTAAGATATGGTTGGCAAGGCAGAATGAGTATTAGCTACTAACTAACTAACTACTACTAACTAACTAACTAACTAACTAACTAACTAACTAACTAACTAACTAACTAACTAACTAACTAACTAACTAACTAACTAACTAACTAACTAACTAACTAACTAACTAACTAACTAACTAACTAACTAACTAACTAACTAACTAACTAACTAACTAACTAACTAACTAACTAACTAACTAACTAACTAACTAACTAACTAACTAACTAACTAACTAACTAACTAACTAACTAACTACTAACTAACTAACTAACTAACTAACTAACTAACTAACTAACTAACTACTAACTAACTAACTAACTAACTAACTAACTAACTAACTAACTAACTAACTAACTAACTAACTAACTAACTAACTAACTAACTACTAACTAACTAACTAACTAACTAACTAACTACTAACTAACTAACTAACTAACTAACTAACTAACTAACTAACTACTAACTAACTAACTAACTAACTAACTAACTAACTAACTAACTAACTAACTAACTAACTACTAACTAACTAACTAACTAACTAACTAACTAACTAACTAACTAACTACTAACTACTAACTAACTAACTAACTAACTAACTAACTAACTAACTAACTAACTAACTAACTAACTAACTAACTAACTAACTAACTAACTAACTAACTAACTAACTAACTAACTAACTAACTAACTAACTAACTAACTAACTAACTAACTAACTAACTAACTAACTACTAACTAACTAACTAACTAACTAACTAACTAACTAACTAACTAACTAACTAACTAACTAACTAACTAACTAACTAACTAACTAACTAACTAACTAACTAACTAACTAACTAACTAACTAACTAACTACTAACTAACTAACTAACTAACTAACTAACTAACTAACTAACTAACTAACTAACTAACTAACTAACTAACTAACTAACTAACTAACTAACTAACTAACTAACTAACTAACTAACTAACTAACTAACTAACTAACTAACTAACTAACTAACTAACTAACTAACTAACTAACTAACTAACTAACTAACTAACTAACTAACTAACTAACTAACTAACTACTAACTAACTAACTAACTAACTAACTAACTAACTAACTAACTAACTAACTAACTAACTAACTAACTAACTAACTAACTAACTAACTAACTAACTAACTAACATAACTAACTAACTAACTAACTAACTAACTAACTAACTAACTAACTAACTAACTAACTACTAACTACTAACTAACTAACTAACTAACTACTAACTAACTAACTAACTAACTAACTAACTAACTAACTAACTAACTAACTAACTAACTAACTAACTAACTAACTAACTAACTAACTAACTACTAACTACAACTAACAACTAACTAACCACTAACTAACTAACTAACTAACTAACTTCTAATATTAACAAAATTTTTACTTTATCCAAAAGTTTCCTAATATTAAAAAAAAAATCACAAAAAAAACATATTATATATATATATATATATATATATATATATATATATATATATATATATATATATATATATATATATATATAGTATATATATATATATATATTTTCAAGAGTTAAAATTTTATTACAATTCAACTTCTCCAAAAAATTAAAAATTATCATTAAAAATTAAATGTTCACTAAAATTCAAATTTTAGTCACTTAAATTTCAAATTTTTACAAAAATTTAATTTATCTTAAAAATAATATTTTTTTTCACATAAAACTGATTTTTAATCTTTATTTTAAAATTTTCCAAAAAAGAAATTAAAATTCAAGTTTTTATCTATAGAAAATATTTTTAAATTTTTTATAGGAAATTAAAGTTTTATATTAAAATATTATTTTATAAATATATAATAAATTTAAAAAGGATGAATTTCTATTTCAATTTCTTAAAATAAAGTTTTCTAAACAAAAGTTATATGAGGACGAAATGTTCTGTAGAAATTGTATATATTTTATACAAATTTCATAATTTGTTAAAATTTACATTTTCACCTCAGCAGTGTGTATTTTCTATACAAAATACAACTCTGATTCAACAACTTTACAATAAAAACTTGGCAGTACTTTTTTGGTGGTGAGAATTTTGCTCTGTCTGAGCAAATCTGTTTTTTTTTATATGTACTAAGCAGCGAACTTAATGGTGGGGTATCTCAGCAAAATCTTGCCCATATGAAATATACGTGTTTGTGTGTCGAGTTCAGCAAAAATTGCTTGTGGTGAGCAGCAGCAGCTGTGGTGAGAAGAAAATCTTGTAGAACAAGAAGAAGCAAGAAATTTTCTGCTGTTTTGTATTAAAAGAAGGAGAAAAAATTGCAAAAATATATAAAACTAATAATAAAATAATATACACAGTGTTTATGAAAAATAAATTATAATATATATACAAAAATACCATGAATATTTTAAACAAATTAAAAGAATAAACAAAAAAGAAAGGTTAAAATTATACATACAAAATTTGTAAGAAAAAAAAAACGTAGGCCACGAAATAAAAAAAGAGCACAAAACGATAAAAAAAATAGTAGCAGCAGTGTAAAGGCTTTTTTAAGCGAAAATATTACAACAAAAATTATTGTACGTATTGCTAACATGTAAAAAAACATTACAAAAAAGTGGAGTTAAAAAAAAATTATAGATTTTATTATAAAAAAAAGTTAAGCAGAAAAAAGAAAGTGTAAAAAGTTATAAAAAAAGTGCTGCAAAAGGAATAAATGTAAAATGTTAAGGATTTTTTATTACATTTCTTATATTTTTTATTATTTTTATATTAGAAGTGTAGCATCGTCATTATGTTAAAAAAAATACACGGTCTATCCGTTTTTTTTTTTCTGGATTTGCTTTTCCTTATATTTTTTCCCATTATTATGTTCTCTGATTTTCCGTTTTGTCATAATTTTCATATTTTTTCTTTTTTTATTTGTTTTTTATTTTTGCATTTGCGCCACTTTCCTGTAAATTTTGTAGTTGTTGTATGAAAATTTGTGTTTTGGATGTTTTGTTTTTCTGTTTTTTGACAGTAGGCCTGTTTTTAATAACAACAACATAACACAACACTCTCTTTTCTCTACAATTGAATACGGCAAATTGTGTGTTGTTGTTGCTGTAGTGTGGGTGTTTGTACAAGTTGTACAATCAAGTTAATAATGTTATTATGACGTTTATGTTTAGTGTTTCTTGTTGTTTTTGTATTTGTGTGTTAAAAAGTGGCCTAATGTCATTACATTAATGTTTAGCTTTTTCTTGGTTTTGTTTATATTTTTTCTATTTTTGATTTTCTTTTCCTTTTTCCTTATTTATTCCTTGTTCGTTTAAATGTGGATGCTGTTTTTTTTTTCTTAGTTCCTTTTCTATTTCCGCTCTCATTGTAGTTATTTCATCATATTTTTATACTTTTATTTTTTCTGTGATTAATCCTTGTGTGGATTTTATATGTATATTTCGTTTTTTTTTTTTGTTAATTTTTTTTTATTAATGTTTATATTTTGTGTTTAATTTATGACTTGTTTACCTTGATTTTCCAAGTTCAGTACGAAAAAAAAATTGTGAAATATATTCTGATGATGGTGTTTCTTTTTAGTTTTAATTATGACGTCAAATAGTTGTGAGTAAAAAACGCATTAATAACAGAAAAAACAATAATAATATTAAAATAAATTGTGGAAAAGCAACAATATGTTTAATGAAATAATACAATATTTGTTAAATTTGTGTGAAAGATTTACTAGAATCTAAATAATCAATTATATTTTTAACAACTAAGAACAGGTATGAACAAATTTCTTAATTCTACTAAAATTAATAAAAAGAAATCTAATAACTCACTCTAGTCTAGTTTATTGAGAAGAATCTAGTCTATTTTAAAGAGTATACTCTATCCTTGCCTGTAGTCTCGATTATAGAGCAGACCGTACTCTGGTTTATATGGCATACTTGATTTAGAGAACATAATCCAGTCTAGTCTACTTCGCTCATGCGTTTAAAGAGTACTCTTTAAAGGATTAGGAATGATCTAAAACTAATTTAAATATATGAAAAACACATACTCCATTTGACATTGTGATGTCCTAGGAGTAATCTCAAATCTACAGAGTAATCTCAAAACTACTCCCTCGCTAATATTATGGGAATACATAATGCGCTATAAAGTCCTATGTAATGCGTGTTATGAAAAGTGCAAAAAAATTAACATGATCCATGCCTGCATTACATAGAACTACTAAACGAATCATCAACTCCAATAATGTTTACAGGGGGAGTAGTTTTGGGATTACCTAAATGGATCATATACTCCAATAACTTTTGCGGAGATATATCTGACTAGTTGCATTTTGTTTAGTCTAGTTTAAGGTCCCAATTATAATTCAGTTCTGATTCAGTTATAGTTTTGTTTTACATCAGTTCTTGTTTAGTTCATTTCTGTTCATTTCTACTTAAGTTCTAGTTCAGTTTTAGTTCAGTTCTAGTGCAGTTCTAGTTCAGTTCTAGTTCAGTTCTAGTTCAGTTCTAGTTCAGTTCTAGTTCAGTTCTAGTTCAGTTCTAGTTCAGTTCTAGTTCAGTTCTAGTTCAGTTCTAGTTCAGTTCTAGTTCAGTTCTAGTTCAGTTCTAGTTCAGTTCTAGTTCAGTTCTAGTACAGTTCTAGTTCAGTTCTAGTTCAGTTCTAGTTCAGTTCTAGTTCAGTTCTAGTTCAGTTCTAGTTCAGTTCTAGTTCAGTTCTAGTTCAGTTCTAGTTCAGTTCTAGTTCAGTTCTAGTTCAATTCTAGTTCAGTTCTAGTTCAGTTCTAGTTCAGTTCTAGTTCAGTTCTAGTTCAGTTCTAGTTCAGTTCTAGTTCAGTTCTAGTTCAGTTCTAGTTCAGTTCTAGTTCAGTTCTAGTTCTAGTTCAGTTCTAGTTCTAGTTCAGTTCTAGTTCAGTTCTAGTTCAGTTCTAGTTCAGTTCTAGTTCAGTTCTAGTTCTAGTTCAGTTCTAGTTCAGTTTTAGTTCAGTTCTAGTTCAGTTCTAGTTCAGTTCTAGTTCAGTTCTAGTTCAGTTCTAGTTCAGTTCTAGTTCAGTTCTAGTTCAGTTCTAGTTCAGTTCTAGTTCAGTTCCAGTTCAGTTCCAGTTCAGTTCTAGTTCAGTGCAGTTCTAGTTCAGTGCAGTTCTAGTTCAGTGCAGTTCTAGTTATAGTTCAGTTCTAGTTCAGTTCTAGTTCAGTTCTAGTTCAGTTCTAGTTCAGTTCTAGTTCAGTTCTAGTTCTAGTTCAGTTCTAGTTCAGTTCTAGTTCAGTTCTAGTTCAGTTCTAGTTCAGTTCTAGTTCAGTTCTAGTTCAGTTCTAGTTCAGTTCTAGTTCAGTTCTAGTTCAGTTCTAGTTCAGTTCTAGTTCAGTTCTAGTTCAGTTCTAGTTCAGTTCTAGTTCAGTTCTAGTTCAGTTCTAGTTCAGTTCTAGTTCAGTTCTAGTTCAGTTCTAGTTCAGTTCTAGTTCAGTTCTAGTTCAGTTCTAGTTCAGTTCTAGTTCAGTTCTAGTTCAGTTCTAGTTCAGTTCTAGTTCAGTTCTAGTTCAGTTCTAGTTCAGTTCTAGTTCAGTTCTAGTTCAGTTCTAGTTCAGTTCTAGTTCAGTTCTAGTTCAGTTCTAGTTCAGTTCTAGTTCAGTTCTAGTTCAGTTCTAGTTCAGTTCTAGTTCAGTTCTAGTTCAGTTCTAGTTCAGTTCTAGTTCAGTTCTAGTTCAGTTCTAGTTCAGTTCTAGTTCAGTTCTAGTTCAGTTCTAGTTCAGTTCTAGTTCAGTTCAGTTCAGTTCAGTTCTAGCTCAGTTCTAGCTCAGTTCTAGTTCTCTAGTTCCGTTCTAGTTCAGTTCTTGTTCAGTTCTAGTTCAGTTCTAGTTCAGTTCTAGTTCAGTTCTAGTTCAGTTCTAGTTCAGTTCTAGTTCAGTTCTAGTTCAGTTCTAGTTCAGTTCTAGTTCAGTTCTAGTTCAGTTCTAGTTCAGTTCTAGTTCAGTTCTAGTTCAGTTCTAGTTCAGTTCTAGTTCAGTTCTAGTTCAGTTCTAGTTCAGTTCTAGTTCAGTTCTAGTTCAGTTCTAGTTCAGTTCTAGTTCAGTTCTAGTTCAGTTCTAGTTCAGTTCTAGTTCAGTTCTAGTTCAGTTCTAGTTCAGTTCTAGTTCAGTTCTAGTTCAATTCTAGTTCATTTCTAGTTCAGTGCTAGTTCATTTCTAGTTCATTTCCTTTTCAGTTCATGTTCAAGTTCAGTTTTAGTTTAGTTTAAATTTAGTCCTTTTAAACTCTAGTTCTATCTGACCTCTAGTCTTTAAAACATCTCAAAACATTATTAGTTACTCTCGTATATCATCTCCATAACTTCATAACGATGGCCGTTTTAGATGAATGCTTTTATATAAAAACCAAATTACTATTAAACATGACCCAGTTAGTAAACACAATCAATCTCCTTGGACTTCTTTGGCGAAGAGCCTAAAACTGGCTATTCTTGGCTTGATATATTATTGATATATAGTTTGTATTGATTTAGTTTTTTCTACTTATAACTCTAAACAATTAGTGAAAAGTTCTCTCCAATTAATTGCTGCCCTTATCAATGAATAAATTCATATCTAATAAATAAAACTACCCCCCTCAATACCCTCCACTTGTTGTCTCCACTGTGATTCATTAGCATAGACAACATGTTTTATCATGCATACAAAAAGAGTACAAACAAATGTCAGGATCTCACCTCTAGTGGAGCATAAGTAAAGTAAAACAAACTTTTTATACAAAAACCTGTTTTCTATTCAACCCCCAAAAACAATATCAACATACAAATTTATAAATTTTTGTGGATAAAAATTTATATTTTTTCACAATTTTCTTTTGTTACACAGCTTCTCATCCACTCTAATTATACGACTACTCTTTAGTTGTTGTTTTTATTTATGAGCCACAAAGTTATGCTAACAAAATATGTATGTACATAGTACATACCTACTCTCATCTTATAAACAATATGACTGAAACATTTCCATTTCCGTTTCCGTTTTGCTATGTATATGATTTTCATAACATTCATTTTACTTTAAATTTCTTTTACGTTATTTTGTTCCAATTTATTTTAATTATTAATTTTTCTATTTTTATGTCATTTAATGATTTTCCTGTTGCTTTATTTTTAATTTTCCATTTCTCTTTTTGCCTCTTTCTCTCTGGTAAATTATTCTTTTAGAATTTTCTAATGTTATGATAAAAATTGTTAACTATTTTTAGCTGTTTTATTAAATTATTTGTACGCTCATAGATACATAGATTCTTTTCCTCTTAGTTACATTAACATACATTTTTATAATGTTCATGCATATATTTTCTATTTAGTTGTTGTTGTTATTTATTTTTTCCAGTCTTTAATTTCCGTTTTTAATTAGATTTGCTGTGGCAATAATTAATAATGCATAGCCAAGCAATAATGTCAATACACTCAACATTCTCTGCTACTCCTTTGTATAATAATTATTGTTAACTATAAGCTAGAGAAATGTATATTAAGTATGTTGGAAAATTTGTAAAAAAAAATGTAACTAGAACTATATTGATCCAGAACAGAAGTAGAACAGAACTA